ATTTTTATAGCCCTTTGGGCCTAGTTCCAAATTGCTTTCCAAAATGGTTGGATAATTTTACAACTACACCAACACTGCATTAATGTTCCAATTTTCCCACATCTTCTCCCTCATTTATCATTTCCCTGTGCCAATTCTGCTTTTTAAGGAGTAGTTTTCTTCAGTATGCTTTTTTCCATTTGGCCAATTGTATTTTTTTAAGGACTTGTTTTCTATAGTCAATTTTTGTCCTTCCTTTTCCAAGCTATTGACTCTCTCTTGCATACCTCTCATTTCTTTTCCCAATTTTTCTTCTACCTGTCTTATTTGACTTCTAAAATCCTTCCTGAGACACAGTGGATAGAGTCAGGAGGACCTGAGTTCAAATCCAGTCTCTGATCAGACACTTGACACTTAAAGTTGGGTGACCCTGGGCAAGTCACTTAACCACAATTGCCACAACAAAAAAAAAAAATCCTTCCCGAGCTCTTTCAAGAAGTTTTTTTGGATGAGACCAGGTCATATTTCTCTTTGAGGTTTTGGATGTGGTTATATTGTCAATGTTGGATGATGTGGTTATATTGTCAATGTTGTCCTCTTCTGAATTTGTGCCTTGATCTTTTCTGTCCCCATAACAAGAATCTTTGGTCATTGTCTGTGCCTGCTTTTTGCTCATGGTGTTTGCCTATTTCCTAACTTTAAAATTGAGCTCTCTTGCTGGAGCTCAGGTGGCACTGACTCAAGCTTCTTGTGCTGGGAGCCCAGGAGCTGGTCACTGGCTTTGTGTGCTGGGACCTCAGGTGCTGGCAGCTGGAGGCTGCAGAGGTCTGGCAACTTGTCTGGGGCTGAGCTAGGGCCAGCAACACTGGAGCTCTCAGGGTGGGGGTGGGGAATCTGGCCCCTGGAGGACTCCTGCTCACCCAGGCATCTTTCAAGCACTCAAATATTTGGCTGCTAGAGAATGTCTGTCAGTGTGGAGGTATGCCTCTTGGAGTTGTGTTTCCTGGAGTTGTGCTGAAGCACCAAGAGATCTGGCTATGGGAGAATGCTGGTGCATGTGATGGTTCCCCTGCCTGTGCTGAGGCACTCAAGGGGTCCTGGTGTTGGCATTTGCTTGTTCCATCACCCTGGGCTCAGGATCTCCCCCTAGGTTTGCTGAGGTAGGGCTTGCTAGGATGCCTCCCTTCCTGTACTGCTTCCCCTCCCCAAGAGCAAGAGGAGCTTTTCCCATTAATACCTCAAGCTCCCTGGCTACAAGACTGCTGCACCCCATCTTCCTGTTGGCTCAGCTGTTCCATGTTTTTCCCCCTGGGGCAATATCTTCTGGGTTTTCAGAGGCCAATAAAGGAGGGTGACAGCGACTTACTTCTTCCTCCACCATCTTGGCTCCCAGAAGTCTCCCAGATTAAATTCTTTGTAACATTCTCTAGTTGGGTGGGATCTCTTACCCAGGATTGATAGGCATGTGTCCAGGGGATTTGGGTAATGTCATTCATCAACAATGCCCTGCAAACTTCTGAAAAATCCTGGTCCTAATTCAATAATTGATTATTAATAAAAGAGAGGAATATCATTCCTTTCAAGAGTCACAGAGTATCAGATCTATATCTCTAATCCAAGGCTCCTGGCTCCAATTCCAGTGCTCTTTCTATAACAAACAGGTGATGATATAAGTTATATCAATTTGTTCTTTCTACCCAACATGTGAGAAAGTTGTAACAGAAAATAAACTTCACAGAACACAAGGTGGAGGGTGGGAATTGGGAGCAAGGTTGGGAGGTGAGGCAAGATAAACACATGTCATGGTCATTTTTTATTGAGGCACAATAGAGCAAAAATGTTCCCAAGAATGAGAATGGTCCCTATAGATCTAATAAAGCAAATGAATGAAGCTTGTAAAACATAATTTCTGAGAATCAGTTGACTAAGAAATATTCTTTGAACCTTGAATATGCCCAGAATTGTGATTGGTATTTGACAGGGATAGAAAAGAAGTACAAGTTTCTTGTCCTCAAGAGTATTATAATTTGTTGGGAAAATGAGACTAACAACCATGCAAATCACAAAACCTAACTCTCTTGCTATCCATCAAAAAGGCAGAATGACCTGGTTGATGGAGATGATAATCCCACTGTACTCATGCTTCTTGCACTACATCTGGAGTATTATGTTCAAATCTGGGCACTCTGGTTCATGACCACATACTAAGCTTACAGCTTGCAAGGAGGAGCAAGAAGAATTGTCAAAGGTCTCAATATCAGGTTATACAAGGAGAAATTAGAGAACTGGGGATATTTAGCCTGAAGGAAAGGCCTATTATACTTATTTTGCATGTCCCCTGTGGTCAAAACTAAAAGCAATGGATGGAAGATTCAGATAAGAATATTTTGACCTAACATAAGAAAAAAAAAATAACTTCATCAAATTAGAGCTATCCAGAAGTGAAAAAGATACCTGGGAAGCAGTAGGTTCCCCTCATTAATGGTCTTCAAGCTGAGGCCAATCTTGTCAAGGATGTTGCAAAGGGAATGATGTATGGGTGGGACAAGATGATCTTTTAGGTTCCCTTAACTCTAGGATTCTTTAAATTGACATAACTAAAGAGTAGAGAGACTAAGTTACTTGGTCAAAGTACAACATGTAGGGGCAGACCTAGCACTCCTCATACTATTGTTTCAGTTGGAAATAATAATAGCTTTTATTTATATCATACTTTATACATAACAAGTTGTTTTTTTTTCCTTAAAACAATCCTGCGATTTAGGTACTACTATCCCCATTTCAGAGACGAGGAAATTGAAGCGCATAGAATTGGATTAAATGACATTCAGATGGTTAATATATCCCAAAACTACAGCTCATACTTACATGTTCCATATCCTATTCTTGCTCTGTGCTCCATGTGCCTCTCTAATCTACATAGATAAGATAGTGCCATGTCTTTTAAAAAAATAAAAGTGCTTAAAACCTGTCACTATTTACTACCTCTGTGACCTTGGCCAAGTCCTAGATCTGGATCTCAGTTTCCTCATTTTTAAGATGAGGAGTTGGATTATACTGGGCTTTTTAAAACCAAGGTTTAATTTTAAAAAAAAATTTTTAAAGTGATAATTTATGCTCAATATTGTTTCCTTTGTAAAGTTATGTATTTTATTATATACAATTTAAAAACCTATTCTGAGAAGAGGTCCACAAACCTCCTTGGACTAAATGGTTTCTAAAGTCTCTTCTAGTTCTAAATACCATGACCATATCTGTGAGTAGTAAGGAATAATTACAGTTGATGTGACTTTTGCCCAAACTCACATATACTTTCTTTCATTTAAGCAGATTATAGAAAGCTATTTTCTGACTTGGAAATATGGATGATAATAACTTTAACTTATGGAGAGAAGGAATGCCTACATAGTAATTTCAACTAATAATAGAACTATTATCTCATATCATCGTTATGCTATGTTTCTCCAACCAGAACCAATTATGAAGGGTTTGGCAGCAAGATTAACAACATTGTTCCAATGTAGCTGAAGAAGCAAGTCTATCTATGGGATTTTTGCCCTTTTCTTCTTTCTATTGATGTTAAAAGAATTCAAATCTAGCTTGAACATGGAAGCAGCACACCCAGACACAACTTCCAAAGGAAGCCAAACTAGTAAAAAATAGTGTCCCAGATACAGAGCATACAGTAGGAAGGGAAACTCTTGAAACAATAACAAATGATTATATTTTTCATGATGCAAGGAATAACAACGTTAGGATTATAAATGACTTTATCATAACCTATAAGATTTATCAAGCACCTCTTATGGATGGGATGCTATGGCAAAAAATTTATATAATTTTTCTACTTTGAAAAAGTCAAGAAATCAACTTAATGTATGCATGCATGTGAGGATGGGGTGATTCAAGTATTTTGGGCCCCTATAAATGTTAGGTTATCTTCATATTTTGCTAATCCAACTACCACGCACCTGCCAAATTAATATGTCTAAAGTATATTTTTTAAATGGGATTCACATACACTTAAAAACAACTACTTCTCATTGCCTCTAGGACAAGGATTCTTAACCTGGGATGCATGGATCCTTATCTATGAAATCTATGAATAGATTTCAGGGCATCTGTGAACTTAGATGAGAAGAAAATACATCTTTATTTCAGTAACCTTTTATTTGCTTTATAATCTTATGTATTTCATTTACATGTTAAAAAATTATTCTAAAAAGAATTTAATAGACATCATCAGACTGCCAAACATGTCCATCACACACACAGACACAAAGACACACACACACACACACACACACACACATAGCTAAGAATACTTGCTCTAGAATCAAGTACAAACTTGAGATGGTGAAGGGGATTTAAAGATGGATCAAGCCCACCTTTATAGGCTGATTACCTATTACTCCCTTTAATGAGCTCTACTTTTAGCCAAATAGGAGTATTAGCTATTGCTTATGCATGACATTTAATCTCCCACTTTCACGCTTTTTCATAGGCTACCCTTGCCATGCCTGAAATGAACTACCTCACCTCTGCCTAATAGCACTCCTACCTTTCCTCAAGAGTCAGCTCAAGTACCTTTTCCTACACCACACCTATTCTAATGGCTGTTAGAAACTGAAACAGCTTTTTAAAAAAATGGTCATTACTTTGTGCATATTTTGTATCTACTTATCTGTATATGTGCTCTTTTTCCCCAATCATAAACTCCCTGAGGGCAAGGATTGTTTCATTCTTAACTTGTATCCCCAGGACCTAGTACAGGTCCTAGCACTTAATAGGCAAAACAAAAACACCTTGGGGAGAGGATTAAAGAGTTTCCACTATACCCTTTTATGTTTACACATACACTTTCTTTAAATTTCATGATGGCTGTGGAGTCTGGAGGAAGGGTAGGTGAAAGAAAAAAAAGGGGGGGGGGAAGAAAAGGAAAAAGAAGAGGAAGAGGAGGAAGAAGAGTAAAAATTTCTTGGAATTTCTGGCCCATCTTTTTGTCTTTATTATACATCTAGGTCTCAACTACAAGTTGCGACAGCTCCTTTAAAGTTATACAAGATGAAGCAAGAGAAATGGCATAAAAGACAAAACTATCCAATTTTTAAAAGGCTGCAAGAAGTCAGAAACATTAATAAACTGCTGACAGAATTTGGAGTTTATCCAAGCAATCCACAAGGCAATATTGAGTTATGTAAGAAAAGTTTTTAAACTGCTCATATACTTTGACTCAATAGGTCCAAATCCCACCCCAAATATCAATGGTGTCATCTGGACAAGTCACTTAACCTTCCTGGTCTTCGATTTCCTCATCTGTAAGATGAAGAAATTTGATGACCTACAAGGTCCCTTTCACTTCCAAATCCATGATCCTATTTCATAAAAAAGGATAGAATTTTTAAAGGATCACTAATTTCTCATTTATGCTTTTTTTAGAAAGTTGGAGATCGGTGGAGTTTTTAAAATGCAAACTCAGCAGACAAACTCAACTTAATCAATATTTAAAATGCCCATATATTATGAAAAGATTATATAGTGATTGAAATTTTACCAAGTTCAAGGAAGGACCAAAATTACCCTCAATTCTTCTTTATCTTAAGGTTATTGATAGACCAAAGAGAGAATAGATATACATGAATTCAATGAAATGTATTCAAATACCAGGATCCTAGAGGAATAAAGGAGCAAAAGGAGAAAGGGAGGAAAATAGAGGGACTTAGTGTTTCTGCAAATCAAGTGGTAATAGATAAAAGTTATTTTTTTAAAAGGGATGGAGGAGTGGAAAGAAGAGGGACTTTATGGATCAAATTCTTATCAAGATAATGGAAGTAAATATAAAAAACAGATTATAATAGTAAAAGTAGAATCTAGGTATCACAGCGTGGGCTTGAGTAAAACTACAGGGATATAGTAAAGTTTTTTTAATAAAATATAATGTATTTGAGGGAGAGAGAAACATACTTAGCTTTATACTGATTATACTGATTTAATATTAATGGGATAAAGTTACCCATAAAATAGACACAAACCAGAATAGATTAGAAAAGAGAACATTTTGCTACATACAAGAAACACCATTAAAATATAAAGGTATACCAAAATTAGAATGAAAGGCTAGTATACTACTTCTATCTTTTTATTGGAGGAAAGAGAGTAAAAAGACTTTAGTTGAATAAAAAGGATAAAAAATTTACATAGGTAACTTGGAGAACTTTTAATTGGTGAATTTAATCATTTGAATTTGGAGCAATATCAAGGATGACAAAGAATGATGTAAAAGGATGGAGGACTATGGAATAGAACCTTAAAACCTTTAAATTATAATTATAATAATTATAAGAAATTATGGAAGAGAAACATGGGAAGAATTGTATGAATTGATTCATAGTGAAGTGAGAAGGACCCAGAAAACAGATTGCATGTTCTCACTTTGAGCATAAAGACATAAGAGGGGCAGCTAGGTGGCATAGTGGATAGAGCACCAGTCCTGGAGTCAGGAGGACTTGACTTCAAATCCAACCTCAGATACATGATACTCACTAGCTGTGTGACCCTTGGCAAGTCACTTAACCTCTACTGCCTCACACAAAAAAAATGCAATAACCCATCATAATATCTTAAGACTGATGATGAAGCATGCCAACCACCTCCTAACAGAAAAGTGATGGACTCAAGGTACAGATTTTATATATATATATATATATATATATATATATGTGTGTGTTGTGTGTGTGTGTGTGTGTGTGTGTGTGTTGTACATATATATGTATGTATATGTATGTAATACATATATGTATGCATGTGTATATATACACACACACACTCCATATGTGTGTGTGTGTGTGTGTGTGATACACACATACATTAGGTACAGTAAATAAGGGAATTTAACTGACTATACTTGTTTGAAGGGTTTGTTTTTGTTTTTGTTTCAATTTCAGAAGTGGGGGAGAGAGAGAGTAAATATGTTTGTCCAAAAGGAAGGAAAGGAAAGGCAAGTCATGGAAACTTTTTTTTTTTTTAATGAACCCAAGTAAACAGAACGAAAACCAGGGGAAGTACAGATAAGCAAAACAGTTTTGAAAGTTACATGCTCAGTCTTCTGGAATTATGATTGATTATAGCATTCATCAGGGCCTCCTGAATGTATTATGTTATTAAAAAGAAAAGCAAACTATATTAATAGATATCTATGGTTTCATGCACAAGTGTTCTTTTTTATTAGATGTTTGAGTAAAAGAGTAGAGACTTTTTTTTAAAAGAGTAGAGAAATTTTTTTAGTGACTTCCAGTCAATGTGTAGTTTATATTTTTTCCGCAGCTCAGTGACTGCTCTCTGTGTTCTAGTTGCAGGTGGATCTCCTCCTGGAGTAGAAGATAAAGGGTCTTTCGATGGTTCAAGTTACTACAGACAATAAAGTGTTCTTAAAGGATAAAAAAGTAAAGCTTCATTGGGTAAAATGAATTTGAGGGGGAGAATGAGGAGAAATTTGACCACTGTGAGGATGTTAGAGTGTGGAAATTTGTTTTTAAAAAAAAAGAGAGAGAAAGGCAGCTGCATTATATGAAATTAAAGTTAGGCTCTCCCTAAAAATCAGAGAGCTAGACACTTTGAGGAAGAAGTTGGAAGAAGCTGGAAATTGAGAAAGGGAAATTTCTACATAGGAGCAGGTCAGCCAATGTGGACAGTGAGCTAAGAGAGAAGTGAATGGTGTGTCTGGGATTTCTGATAATATGGTGGTTCCATGTTCTCCTCAGAACTCGAGGACAAATATCTCAATTTTCCAAAGAGAGAAGAGGGCTTAGTCTGCAAATTACAAGCTAGTAGTTTGACTTCTGTTCACGAAAGAAAATCTGGGATATTTTATTAAAGAAATGGCCCCTAATAAATGCTTATTGATTGGCTGGTTGGTTGAATAAGAATCTCACTTTTAAAACGCCAAAATTTATAGGTGGTCTAAAAACTCACTATATTTGTCACACTTTGCCCTTTTTTTCTGCTACTCTGAGACACTGTCATTGTAGAATTATAGGATTTTAAACAGGACTGAGAGCCGTTTTGTAATTCGTTTCATTTCCTAGGTGGCCATGGCCACCATAGACTCTACATGGCAGAGAATATACACCCAAATATTTCTTCTTCATCTCTTCTATTTAACAAAACCACACTCATGCTTCCAGGTTCATCTCAAAATGCACATAGCCCACAAAATCTCCTTTCAATTATATGACAGTGTCCTTGTTTCTCCCTTCCCTGAGGTCCTAGAGCACTTCTGTGTCTTACAGGCAAACCAACACTTGCTTATTTTATAATTCTTTCATAAATGTTTGTTCTTCTATAGTACATAGGAAACTCTTTGAGGTGTGATTGTAAGAGTCAACTACCTTCTGAGGCAGCAAATTCCATTTTTGGACACCCCTAAGTGTTAGAAAGTTTTTCTCCACTCAGTGTGCCTAGTTTTCTGTTCTGATGCCAGACATACAATAAAATTCTTCTTCCACGTGACAACCTATCAAATACATTATGGTATCTATCAATTGACCCTTTAAGTCTTTCCTTTTCTCAGCTAAAAAATCCCATTATGCCAAACAGTCCCCATACGTCAGAACCTCTAGGACTCTTGCCATTCTACACATCATCCTTTGGATCTACTTCAATTTGTAAAATGAAAAAATCAGAAATGACAACAATATTCCAAAAGTGGTTGGATATATCCACTATAACTGAATTACCTCATTCCTAATTTTGGACACTAAATTCCTTATTGATTGTAAAAAAAAATATAGAGATACAGTGCATAGTATAGTGGAAAGAGCAATGAACTGGGAGTAAGATAATTTGAGTTCAAATCAGTTCTGATACTGACTCGCTGTGTGGCCTAGGGCAACTGGCTTAGCCTCACTGAGCCTCATTTTGATCATCTGTGATATGTGGATAACAATCCTGGCACCTACAGGGTGTAGCGAAGAAGGCATTTGCCAAAATCTAAAGTGTTATATGAATTTGAGTTATTATTTCTTGAGCCTTTGGCTGGTCCATCTCAATAGATGTCTGTCATTTCTCAAGGTCATTTGGTAAGCATCAATTTATCTCTATACTCAGTACACATTTTGAGATTGTTACTTTATTATTTTTAAGCCATTTAGTAAATTACTTCTTAAGTGGTACCCTAGGCACAATAGAATTACTACTCTGAAGAAAAAGGAGTTCATTTACTTTCTGGTCTCTGGAAGGAGCAGGTTCATTTAACATCAAGTATCTTCTTCTTCTAAGTCAATTCAGTCTCTTTCCCTGAAATGATGGCCTGAGTTATCCAGAATCATGCCTGGCCTCCCAAGCACATAAAATGAGCCTGTAGCATTTGATTTCAGGAGTAGGTTTCAAGACTTGAAAAAGAATCTTCCCTTCCTCACCTTCTGAATGAAGCCTGAAGTTCCTCCATTAATGATTCATCCCTACCATTTAGGACTTTGATAGGAATTCAATGAAAATTGGAGGATCAAGACTTTTCAGTCATTTTGCATACTATTGTGGGGTGAATGGGATATTCAGGGAAGACTAGTATATATGGGGTGAGGGCTTGCTGAGCTCTTTTCAAGACTGCTCATCAACCTTTGGTGTCCACTTGTCACTCAACTCACACCCATGGCTCCAAGAAGCTATAAAGTGTATAGTAGCCACACCCCAGTAAAATCTTCTAGGTAAGTAGGCTAAACCAGATTAAGGGTAACAGGCCTCAAACCCATCAGTGAATTAAAGGGATGTCTACTCCATGTATGTGAAGACTTCTATCAGTGTAATGGGTACATGAGAACAATTTGTTCCAACAGCCATGAAGGAGGGTGGAGTAGGTGCTGTGGAGTACTTACAGCTTGGTCAGACACGCAACATGCCAAAGTCACCCACTGCATTCTGAGTCATTGCCAGTCATCACCAGTCATCTTAACTGTTGTCTTGCCACTGAACTTTAATGACTCTAGAAGAGAGAATAAGGCTGATGACCTTGTGTAACTCTGCCTCACTTAAATCCAAATCATGAGCAAGTCAATATACCATCCCGCAATGTCATTGATCCCCTTCAAAAACGAAGAACAATATTGTGAATGATGAATCTGAGATTAGCG